CACTCTAACTAGTATGAGAATGTCACAAAGAGCTTAGGGAAGTGGTGGACAGGCTGAACCTGGTGGATCTTCCTTATTGGGAGGAAAGTGGACATGGTCAAATTCCACAGAGAATCCATCTTGAACGAGGATCGACCGTTTTTTAATCTCAAATGAGCTTTTAAGGCAACTTCCTGGTCTGAGTCAGAAGGTACTCCAGTGCACAATTTCTTATCATTTCCCCATCTACCTTATACCGGATGGCATCATATGGGGCCCGATACCATTCAGATTTGACAATAAATGGCTCAAGATGGATAGATTCAAGGAGTATGGTAGAAACGTTTTGGAATAGTATGCAGATAAGGAGAATTGCAAGCTTTAAGCTTGCCTCCGAACTTAAGGCGCTACAGAATAAGATAAAAAAGTGGACCAAGGAGTTTGGGGATAAATTAGAGGAGAGCACTCGGCCTTATATTAGTGAGCTTGCTAAACTGGACATGAGGGAGATGGAGGGGCCTTTGTGCGTAGGGGATAGAGATAGACGAGATGTAGTAAGAAAAGGGGTGGCCTACAACATGAATTTAGAAACAATATCATGTAGGCAAAAGGCTAAGGAGAAGTGGCTTAAAAAAGGTGACCATAACACTAAGTATTTCCACTGCTTTGCTAATTATAGAAGGAAATGCAATTACTTAGAGGAGATAAACATTAATAGTGTGGTGATCAGAGGCAACTCAGAAATAAGGGACAAAGGCAAGGATTACTTTCAGCAACTGTACGAAGAGAATGAGAGATGCAGACCTATGCTGCACAATCTGGACTTTAAGCAGATTAGGGCCAATAGTCGTGAGGGGATTGAGAAAAGATTTACTGAGGAAGAGGTGGTTGGTTGTGTTATGGACTATAATGGTGGTAAGGCTTTGGGTCCCGACAGGTTCAATACGAAATTTGTACAAGCGTTTTGAGAGGTTTTGAAGGCTGATCTGATGGCTGTTTTTGAGGAATTCTATAGCTCGGGGTCACTTATTAAAGCTATTAATGTCACCTTTCTTGTCCTTATC